TCTCTCTCTTTCTCCCCCCCTCTCTCTCTCTGTCTGTGGGGGGAGTTGTTCGTTTTCCATACTTCCTCAACCCAGTGTAGTTGCTGCTATTGGCGTATGTCCACCCACACAGAGAGAACTTAGAAAGGTTGTGAAAGATGTCTTTTGCGGCGCCCATAATGTTGTGTCTGTACTGAAGCTCTGAGTGGTGGCAGTATGTCATGTGGAACTTCCTTCTGTCAGTCAGTATTTGTACACAGCTATTTGAGTGGCGTCGTGCTGAAATCAGGCGCTCGTCAATTTTTGGGCATGTGGAGTTCTTTTTGGTCTTACTTTAATTAAAGCTTGTTCATTTGTTTTGGCTTCAATTTTTTTTAAAGATAGCTATTTATCTAAAATAGAAGTCGAAATATTATTTCCAATTGAAGAAGGTCGGTGTTGCCTGGTTTCAGAGGAAACATTAATGAGAAAATGGTCGTCAAAGTTTGATAACTTCTAGATCTGACAGAGTTTGGAAACTGAAAAAAAATTATTTATGTGCCTTTAATCACTATTTTGCAGTAAAATTCCACACAAAAATGTGTTTTTAAATGGACATAAAAGGTTTTGAGCCAAATAGAAAATTTATCCCCCTAAAAAATTACCCTCGACCCCCGCCCCCCTCCCAAAAAAACACAAAAACAAACCCAAAACAAAACAACAACAACAACAACAAACAAACAACTGGTTTATTTTATTTCATTTTTTTGGGCAAGCGCCTGCTTTCACCACGATGCCTCTCATAATTTGATGCATCTTTGCTTCCACGAGGTGGGGTTTGAAATAACTGTTTTCGTCCGTGTCTGGAATCAGGCTTTCGTCAGTTCTTGGGTATGTAGAGTTATTGTTGCCATCTAAAAGCTGATCTATTTGCCTTGCATCCAATGAAATAAATATCCACCTGTCTTGAAAAAAACTCGATATTTGCGATGGTAGGAAGTGAGCTCGCCTGGTTTTAGTGGTGGAAGTAGCGAGAAAATGGCCGCCAAAGTTTGGGAATTCAAATAGCTTAAGAGTCCTTGGAAACGGAAAAATTACATATTGTGTGCCTTTAATCAGTGTTTTTCAGTAAAATTCACTGGTAATGTTTTTATTTTGGCATAAAAGAGGTTGAGCCAAAAATAGAAATTTGATAACAATTTCCAAAAGTGACAGAAAAATGTCTGTTCTCCGATTTCTGTATTTTGACGAGTGGCTCATTTCCCCCCTCTGCTCACAATTGTAACTGTTTTCGTGCGTGTTTGGGAGAGCTCTACTGACTAGTAGCTCCTACTTCTTTTCTTTTCCAGCATCTTCTGTTGTTCCTTCCTGCGTGTCTGCTTTACTCTTTCACTGCGTTAATTTATTGTGGGTTGGTGGTTAGCGGGTGCTTTTGTGTGATTTGTTCTTTCTTTCCTCGCAAACATCGATCCTCCTTACCGTTCCTCCTTCTGTTGTACTTGTGTTACTCTCCTGTAACAACTACCATTTCCTTAATCGCCTCTAAGATCGGCCTGAAAAATGAAAATGGAATCATCATCATCATCATCATCATCATCATCATCATCATCATCATCATCATCAT